ACAGCCAGCTTTGTAAATGCATATCATAGTAACATTATTACCACCCCAGAAAACCCTGAAACCTTTATTATTGTTTATTTTTATTTCATCACACTTGCTTTTTCCTTGTAGATGTCATAGTTCTTATAGTAGTTTGCTTTCTAATGATGTCTTAAGTTGAATGCCTTCTGCTTAAAACGTGCTTTATATTAAACCTACAGAGATACGGATTCCTGGGTGGCTTAGTCGGTTAAGCGTCCGACTTCAGCTCAGGTCATGATCTCCCAGTTTGTGGGGTTGAGCCCCATGTTGGGCTCTGTGCTAACAGCTCAGAGCCTGGAGCCTGCTATGGATTCTGTGTTCTCTCTGTCCCTTTATTACTTGCCCCCCTCTTCTCTCAAAAATAAATAAGCATTTAAAAAGAAAAGAAAAGAAAATTATAGCGATGATTTTTTACTTCCACCAAAGAATATACTTTTATCTCATTTCTTACAAAATCTGTGAGGAATTCTGTTTCATTTTTCTACCTTTGATGTAGGCATGAAGGCAAAGACAAATTTCTGTATTCTAAGAAAATCAGCAGTGCAAGTATAAATGATAAATGGCAGTTCACACTGAGTTGGTATGTTAGAGAGAAAACAGAAAGTGGTTATTATTGGATCGAATTGGAGAAAGGAAGCAGCCTTTAAAGGAGGCATTGCCACCTAGCTCTGGATGTGTCATGTGGGAATGTTAGAATATGGGCAACACTTTGCCAGATCTTCTTGAGTTTTCATGAAGCGTTGGACATTTGGATAAAACTTTTCTGACTTCCAAATATGGGCTACCAAGTCAACTTATAAACAAATGCGTGGGTCAAAGGAAGCATAGTGCCAGCAATATATGGATGAGGGCTGCCTATTGGGGATCTTGGCTTAGAGCATGCATCTATATCTGAATATGGAAGGTTATAAGATAGAATTTTAGTTCTTAGCTTTTCTACATAATTATGATGCATATTGTTATTTCCAGCTTACACTGAGCAATAATTATAACCGAGGAAAATTTTCTAGAGACAGAATGAGACTCTATTAGGGAAATGACATCCCAAGGACTTGTGTGAAACAAATCCATGTGGCATATGCAAAGGAATAAATGGAATGAGAAGGACTTGGACCCCATATCTGAAAGACAGTAGAGACTCCACTCAACCACATTGGCCAAGGGTCTTTGCATTTGTTTAATAGTGATGAGGAATTAAAAATTGATATAAAATCTGTTGTGATCTGTTTCTCCCGGACAATTATGTATGTAGGAGGTATGTGGTTGGGGTAGGAGTGCAGAGCTGCTGCAGATGAGATGTTGGCCAAGGACTAAACTTAAGCATGAGCTGGAGTTGGGAGTGTATCAGTAAGAGACCTTCTGATGGCAGATCTAATGTGGCCTACCCTAAATTGAGTCTAAGACAGTGTGTCAAACTTTCTTTCTTGGAGCACAGCTAATTGGTGGACTTGGCTAAACTGGGAGATCCCATCCTTTATCACATTCTGACTGGTAGAAATGCCAACACTTTGAAAAGATAGCCTGTCCAGCGCTGTTATTTAAGGTGGAGTTGGGAATAGACTACAGCAGTAGCACTCCTTTACATAGCATTTCTACCATTCAGATGCAGGAGGCATGCATAACCTCAAAAGCATGGATAATAATAAAGTGTAGCACAATAGTTAGAAAGTGACAAGTTTTAAATATTTATTACCTTTGTTTTTATAAAATTTATTTAATTTTAGGTTGATAGAATTTAATTTTTAGTGATGACTGTTTTACAACTGGTGTACAAAAATTCCTGGAAACTTCATTGCTTTTGTGAACTGGCAAAAGTCTGGTACAACACTGGCCATTTTGCTTATCATCCTGTATCAAAGGGTTATCACCTTCCAGTCACACTTTATCCCCCTTATCCTGCTGTATTTCTATCCATTAACATTAAAGACACACACACACACACTTTTTTTTCAATGGCACTGAACTGAAACTTAAGTGATGTAAAATTTGCTTATTTTGTTCACTTCTGTATCCCCAGTGCTTAGAATATGTCTTGCACAGCCTTTAGGTGCTTATGTATTAAAAGAATGGATGAGTTTATTAATATTTTATTCAAAACAGATATTAGCTTGTTATGGAAAAAAGCAAACACCTGGGAATCAGAATACTACTCTATTCAGTTGCTGCATGCAATAGTCACTCTCACAACTTTCCTATGAGGAAAGTATTATTATTACCATTTTACAGATGAGGCAACCGGGCACAGTTTTGCCCAAAGACAAATAGCAGATAAACAACACAGCTGGGATTCACACTCTGATATTTTAGTTCCAGAAACCACACTATAAAGAAAAACCTTTTTTGTATGGAACCAGAAAAGACCCCAAATGGCCAAAACTATCTTGAAAAAGAAAACCAAAGTTGGAGGCACCACAATCCCGGACTTCAAGGTGTATTACAAAGCTCTAGTCATCAAGACAGTATGGTAACAACACAAGAACAGACACTCAGGTCAATGGAACAGAATAGAGAACCCAGTAATGGACCCATGAACATATGACCAACTCATCTTTGACAAAGCAGGAAAGAATATCCAATGGAATAAAGACAGTCTCTTCAGCAAGTGGTGCTGGGAAACTGGACAGCAACATGCAGAAGAATGAACCTGGACCACTTTCTTACACCCTACACAAAGATAAACTCAAAATGGATGAAAGACCTCAATGTAAGACAGGAAGCCGTCAAAATCCTCGAGAAGAAAGCAAGCAAAAACCTCATTGACCTTGGCCACAGCAACTTCTTACTCAACACATCTCCAGAGGCAAGGGAAACAAAAGCAAAAATGAACTATTGGGACCTCATCAAAATAAAAAGCTTCTGCACAGTAAAGGATACAGTCAACAAAACTAAAAAGGCAGCCGACAGAATGGAAGAAGATATTTGCAAATGACATATCAGATAAAGGGTTAATATCCAAAATCCATAAAGAACTTATCAAACTCAACACCCAAAAACCAAATAATCCAGTGAAGAAATGGGCAAAAGACATGAATAGGACTTCTCCAAAGACGACATCCAGATGGCCAACTGACACATGAAAAAATGCTCAACGTCGCGCATCATCAGGGAAATACAAATCACAACCACAATGAGATGCCACCTCACACCTGTCAGAAAGGCTAACATTAACAACTCAGGCAACAACAGATGTTGGTGAGGATGTGGAGAAAGAGGAACACTTTTGCACTGCTGGTGGGAATGCAAACTGGTGCAGCCACTCTGGAAAACAGCATGGAGGTTCCTCAAAAAATTAAAAAAATAGAACTACCCTATGACCCAACAATTGCACTACTAGGTATTTATCCAAGGGATACAGGTATGCTGTTTCCAAGGGGCACATGTACCCCAATGTTTATAGCAACACTATCAAAAGTAGCCAAAGTATAGAAAGAGCCCACATGTCCATCAATGGATGAATGGTTACATATACAAGGGAGTATTACTCGGCAATCAAGAAGAATGAAATCTTGCCATTTGCAACTACATGGATGAGACTAGAGGGTATTTTGCTAAGCGAAATTAGTCAGAGAAAGACAAATATCATATGACTTCACTCATATGAGGACTTTAAGACACAAAACAGAGGAACATAAGGGAAAGGAAGCAAAAATAATATAAAAACAGGGAGGGGGACAAAACATAAGAAGTCTTAAATATGGAGAACAAACAGAGGGTTACTGGAGGGGTTGTGAAAGAGAGGATGGGCTAAATGGGTAAGGGGTATTGAGGAATCTACTCCTGAAATCATTGTTGCACTATATGCTAAGTAACTTCGATGTAAATTTTAAAAAGAAATTAAAAAAAAGAAAAACCTTTTTTTAATTGTTGAAAAATTAAAAAATGTACAGAAGTAGATGGAATAGAATATGACACCCAACTATCCATCATCCAACTTCAACATTTATAAATTCATGGCCAATTGCTTTTCATCTATACTCCTTTTCCTGCTGAGATTATTTTGAAGGAAATCCCAACCGTCATTTTCTTAATATTTCCATGTTTATCTCTAAAACATAAATACTAAACCACATTCTGGTTGGAAATTTTGTACTATCCATTTTTGGCCTAGAGTTTGTGGGTGTTATTTAATTTTTCTGAAACAAAGTTTCCTCATCTGTAAAATGGATACGCTATTTTTTCTCAGAGTTTTTTGGATATTAATATATTCAAAACACTTTGTTCAACTATAAAACATTATATAAAGATTGGATTTTCAACTCCTATGTCATTACCCACATTGTGCTATTCACACACTTAAAGGCTCTACATCAAAGCCTAGCTTGGCTAAGTACAGACAAGCATGACCTGCTTTTTCCCAGCAACGTGGTTTCTGAAATAACATCATGCCTCATAAATATGCCAGAGTTCTTATAGAGAGTCAGCAGTTACATGGAATGTATCAGTCCTTGCAAGTTTGTAAAGTCCTAAGAGAAAACAATAAAGTATTACTTTTATATTGTAATAAAGAGAAGCTGTTGAACATCATAAGTAATTTACAAGAATATATCACAACTTGCTTCCCAAATAAGAGTCTAGATGTATGTGACATTGTACAAGGGCGAGAGATGGAACAGAGTGAGAGGCACACCTTCATGGAGCCTCAATTGTACTCTATCATAAATAATATCAAACATTCTTTTAAATAATAATAATCATATCAACATACACTTGTATGGTTCTTAATACATGTCCAGCACTGTTCTAATGCTTAAACACTGTTTTAAGTGCTTTTAAATATTAGCTCATTTAATACTCACAACTCTATGAGGTAGATGCAGTTATCTCCATCTGGCAGATGGGGAAACAGAGGCACAACGAGGTTAAGAAATTTTCCAATGTCAGAGAGCTAGTAGCGGGGAAGCCATTATTTAAATGCAGGTGTCTGCTTTAGAGTCTGTGCTTCTCCTGCTATGCTATTTCTCCTATCAAAGGAAAAAGGAGTGCTCACTTCAGCAGCACCCATACTAAAATTGGAACTACACAGAGATGATAAGCATGGGCCCTGTGCAAGGATCACACGCAAATTCATGAAGTGTTCCGTATTTTCTAGATTGATGCCAGGTTCAGGGTATTTGTGGTAGTAATGCTTTGTTGTTAAGTCAGAAGATTTGGGTGAGAGGTCGTGTGTCTTGGGTGACTAAATAAATGACTTTGGGTAAATACAAAAAAGAAGAAGAAAGAAAAAAGAAAAAGGAACCAAACTTTCAAACATCTAGATATTCAAGTACTCATTTTGTAATTCTTATTTATAAAAAAATATTCATGAAATCAACACACTGGTTGACTGCTTATGTTTTCTTCTAAGACACACTTGAAAATAAATTCATATTTACTAAAATAAAAAGAAATACATGTGACCCTTGAATGAGATGAAGGTTAGGGGCACCAGCCTCCACACAGTTGAAAATCTGTGTATTATTTTTGACTCCCCAAAACTTAACTACTAATAGCCTGCTGTTGACTGGACACCTACTGATAATATTATCAGTAGGTTAACACATATTTTGTATGGGCTATATATGACATACTGTATTCCTTTTTTAAAAAAATATTTATTAGTGTTTATTATTTATTTTTGAGAGAGATAGACAGAGTGTGAGTGGGGGACAGGCAAAGAGAGAGAGGGAGATACAGAATCCCGAGCAGGCTCTAAGTTCTGAGCTCTCAGCACAGAGCTTGAACTGGGGCTCAACCCACAAATCATGAGATCATGACCTGAGCTGAATTCGGATGCTTAACTGACTGAGCCACCCAGGTGCCCTGACTACTTTATTCTTAACAATAAATAAGCTGGAAAAAATAAAATGTTATTGAAAAAATCATAAGGAAGAGAAAATATATTTACAGTACTGTAAAAAATCTGCATATAAGTGGGCCCATGCAGTTCAAACCTGTGTTGCTCAAGGGCCACCTGTATATTTACCTGTACTTCATTCCAGATGATCTCATATATATTGGACCAGATGATCTTGGACACATTGGATTATGGAATAGACTGCAGCAAAACTGAAACAAATAGGTAATTAAGACGTCAAAGTTTGAGCTATGGCAAGTGTGTTGTGTAGAGTTGGGCCTTCTGGGCACATTGTTCTGCTGTCAGAAATGTGTGTAAGAAGTGTAAAATAAGCTGCTTAGGGACTGAGGCTTACAAAACAGAAAACAGAGGCACCTGGGTGGTTTAGTCAGTTTAGTGTCTGATTTCAGCTCAGGTCATGATCTTATGGCTTGTGGGTTCTAGCCCTGCATTGGGCTCTGTGCTGACAACTCAGCGTCTGGAGCCTATTTCAGATTCTGTGTCTCCCTCTCTCTCTCTCTCTGTCTCTGCCTTTCCCCAACTCATGCTCTGTCTCTGTCTCTCAAAAATGAATAAATGTTAAAATTTTTTTTTAAAAACCCCAAATCTTGGGATACATATCTGTAAACAGTGGATATTGGTCATGGGGTTTCTCAGGAGTTCTTATTATTTCCTGCCACTAGGGATACACCCTGAATAATAGTCTTTGTTCTCAAGTACTCAGATCCAACTGGGCAAGACAGATCTGTAGATATTTAAAGCAATGTGATACCGAGTTTGAGAGGGGTTTGCAAAGATAGTAAGTTTACAGGGTAAGAAGTGTTCATGTTCTGTCTGAGAGAGTCAGAAGTGGCCTTTTTATGACTTTTAGAGAAAATGTGGAAGACTTTGAAGCTTGCAGAAGGGAGAAGCCTTAACAGTGCCAGGCTCTTTTCAATCATGGAAAATAGTTATTAGTCATTTGAATGGAGGAAAGAAAATTGATGCTAAGAGATCTGTGCCAATAGATGCAGAACATGTGTCCATGCGTAGTCTTCCTATCTCCACAGCTCACATTCCCTTGACTTTTACACTTAAGAACTGGAGTTGGAGCTAGAATTGTGTTTGCTTCAAGAGTCTGTCATGTCTGGGCTTGTCTCATGATGTGACGTGGGGCTACCAAGACTGCCTGACATTGAGACAGTATAATATCATGTTTAAGAAATAGCATATTTGGGGGGCGCCTGGGTGGCTCAGTTGGTTAGGCGTCCAACTTTGGCTTGGGTCATGATCTCTCGGTTCGTGGGTTCAGGCCCCGCGTCGGGCTTTGTGCTGACAGCTCAGAACCTGGACCCTGCTTCGGATTCTGTGTCTCCCTCTCTCTCTTGACCCTCCCCTGCTCGTGCTGTCTCCCTCTACCTCTCACAAATAAATATAAACATAAAAAAAAAAAGAAATAGCATATTTGGAATACAAATCACTAGAAAGTAGATCGCTTCTCAGCCTTTTGGCTAAGATCAAGTGCAAATCACTAGAAAGTAAAGTCTGCATATTATACTTCTGGACTTTGGGGTTGGGGGACCAGATTCAGTTCTAGGCTCTATCTCTTGTCAACTGTGTGATGTGGCATAATTATTTTAATTTCTTGATGCCTTTGTTTTTACATTTGTAAAATTGGTGGCACCTCCAACTTGGGGGGTGGTCATAAAGATTAAATTGGATGATGTATATGTAGAACACATTCTGGCCACAAAGAATTTCATGGAAAAAAACTTGTTATGTGGGAAGAGAAAGATAGTGATGTTGGTGAGATTAGGTTTGGGTTGAGAATGGTCAGCCAATGTTTTGAGGAAGGCATTATCCTCTAGTTTAGGTTCTTTGAATTCAGGTCTAAATTCCAGAATGAGGGAGTATACATGGAGGACAAGTGGAAGTCAAAAAAGCAGAAATATCTAGAGTTCATGATGGCAATGGCAGTGGTATCAGTAGCTATAGAAGTTAAAGCTCTCCTGGGGAACGCTTGGCCTCCTCAATAACCAGCCATTCAGTGTAAACATCATTGGGCTGAAGTAGTGTGCATGCTTTTGTGTGGGACAGTAGAAATCTCCTCAGTAAACACCATTCTGGCTACTGCATTGGATGTCAAGAGCGACAGGAGACATCACTTCAGTAAGCTAGAACAGAAGAGTACAACCAATAGAATATTCAGAAGAACACATTCTTAATTTTTTTGGTGGCTCAGTTTTCCACAGAGCATGCTAGGACAGAACCAGAAAAATCCTGATGCCTGATTATGATTGTGATTATTTTTTTCCTTTGGGCTGGTGTGTTCTGGGAAACAGTTTCCACTTAAGTAATAGTGGAAGGGAAGTAAGTAAGGAGATTTCTCCTAATAATGGAAATGAACAAGAAAGTGGCAAATAATATTCAGTATAGGCAAGGGTAATGGTTAGCATCCAGTAATGAATAATAGAAAGTATGATGTTAAGGTAAAGGATTCTGAGATGTCAATTTGAATATAAGGGTAGATTTTCACTTAATCACTCAGTGTATTTGTTTAATACAAGACAAGTGAATTATTGGATATTGTTAGGGAAATTATTATAATGATGAAAGAAAGCATAGTTTTCTTTTATTGAAAAAACCATGGTGTGTTTTTTTGGTAACATACTCAAGGAAGACAATAGAGCTAAAAATAAATAAAGGTCAGTGGTAGAAGGCAATAAAAATTAGGGAATGGAAACCTTCCATGTAGAAGCAGATTTGAAAGACTGGAGTCTGATGTGGAAAAGACCCAAAGACTCAGGAGATAGAATCAAAGTCTATTGCATAATAAAGGGTGTGGATGGGGAGAGTGTGGACCTGGTCATCAAATCCCTAAAATTCCAGCATTATTAGGTAATCACTAAAGCTTCAAAAAAGTTAATTTGGGACAAATAAAGGAAACATCTACTTTAAAAAATGAATACTATACACATGGAATTTATCCTGAACAGGTTGAAAACTTAAATATCAAACTTAAAATTTAGGAGAACATGAAACTCAGTTTGTAATAAACTTTAATAAACATTTAGGCACCTTGGGTGCTTTTCAAATCTTTCTGTATTAGTACATGGGGAACAATTAATATGGTCTCTACCTTTCTACAGCAGAATTGGAGTACTTGGTTAAATGGCATTGTTTCTATCTTTGAGAAAATTGAAGTGGTTTGATATTTTACTGTCTTATAAGTCAGTGGCTGAGTTAAAAATATAAACCCTGATACCTGACTTCCATTTTAAGACAACTTAGGGAGTAGTGACAATAATTCATGAGAACACTGTTGATATTTTGAATTATAATTGTTAACAATATTAACAAGAGATATATATTTTTTAGGTAAAATCACCAACTTATATAAAGTAAAGCACTGCATTCTTTGGTAAATCATAAGCTTCTTAGTCTGAGAGAAACTTGTTAAATAATTCTTAACATGATATTTTAGTCTATGAATAAACAGAGGGCTTCACATATAATTATTGCTCTAGTATGAACTTTACATAATAGTAACAAAGAACCTGAGCCTAATTAGTCTCTTCCAGTAAAAGTATTTGAGAAATTTTCCATTGCCCAATACCTTCCCATAATGGAAAATACACTGCATGGGAGGTATGTGTAAATATTTGATTCATGTTTTACTGATTTCAGTGTCACAACCTATCAATCATTAACACTTCAAAAAACATATACCTGGTTGGTTGTTTCCAAAGTACATTCTTTCTCTGAAGGATTTTTAGACTCTTAGAATCAGAGAGGTCCCTAGTGAACACCCAGTCTGATTTTTTAATGTCATGGGTGGTGAAAATGAGACCAAGAATGCTTAAGTGACTTTCACAGAGTCCTCCACCAACCTTGGCTGGTTCCTAGGACCAAGATCTTTAGGGTCCCAACTCAGGGGGCCTCTTCTTAAGATACTAAGAAGTATCTGAAAAAAGGTATATAGCAATACAATAATATTGTCATAGTTGTAGAAACTGAAGTGAAGAAATTTAGAAAATTATAGGTGCCAGCATTTATTTCCAATGCTATTATAGGTAGTCAGTTGATAAAATTAAATAATAGCCTCTATAGAAAGGATTGTGAGAATATCAGCTTGACATTTTACTACTATGATGTAAATAAAGGTTTCCAACCTGGTGCCTCGCTTAGGGTCAGCATGTAAAAGTGCTAGTTAAGTCTGTTTGAACAACAATGTGCTAGGACCTGACCTTGTGGCAAAATAACTTTTTCCTCCC